TCAAAACGCAGGGGTTTTTTCGCCTTTCCGCTCAGCCCATGACCAGTTTTTCCCTAAAAAAGAGTTTGTTTTTATGAGAGATAGAGAGATTGAGAGAGAGAAGCCAACCAGACAGAAGGGGATGAAAAAAAGGTTAGGAGGTTCCTTCCCTTTCCAGTTGTATCCCTTTTGTTCCAGCAGCACGACGCCCCACGTCACAAAGAAATGCGTGTGTGCGTGCGTGTGTATGTGTGTGTGTGTGGGTGGTGTGTGTGTGTGTGTGTGTGTGTGTTTCACACCCCCGCTTGGTTCAGTTACGTTTAGTTACAGTGCAGGGAGGGTAACGGATGGACGGCCATGGATGGACACGCCCGCCGAAAGTGATGCAGCAGCAGCACCACCACCAGTGAACAGACAAGGGGCAGAGGGAACGAAACCAGCAAGCAGAGGCAACCAGGGGTAAGCAGAGGCAAGCAGGGGCAAGCAAAGGCAAGCAGTATGCACGCACAGTACGAGTGCGTGCGTGTGAGGGAACGTGAAAAAGGAAAAGAAGAGAGACAGAGAGACAGAGGGACAGAGGGACAGAGACAGAGACAGAGACAGACACACACACACACACACACACACACACAAACACACACACACACACAATTTGTTTGTTGGTTGACTATGACTTGCGGAAGGTCTGCAGGAGAATGCAGATGTTGTCAAAGGCTTGTTCGATATCCTCGTGCGATTTCGCCCCCGTAATCACCAGCTTCCCGCTGTTGGCGCAGAGGTGGTGGTCATTGGTGGTGGTGGTGGTGGTGGTGGTGGTCATTGTTGGGACACGTTGATACAAACGGGAATGTAAGTGGGTAAGCGTGTGTGTATGTGAGCGTGTGTGCGTGTGAATGTGGCGAGTCAACAGACGATGCGTCTGCAAACGCCTGTGTAAGAACTGTCTACAGAACACACACAACACACAAGCACACACACACAGACACAGACACACACACACACACACAAGCACACACACACACACACACCTGACGAAGATGAGGACGACGACGCGCGGGTCGGCCATACGGAAGATGAGACCAGGAAACAGCTCGGGTTCATACCTGATGAGCAGGTGAGCAGGTGAGAGTGAGTGATTGTTTCTGGGTGTTAAATAGCGTGGCAGAGCACAGCAGCGCTGAAACGTGGTGTCAAATCATATACACA